GCATGCTGTGTCCTAATATACTTGAATAAAAACATCGCAACTCCCAAGATAGGGACTTTAACTAAAAAAAAAAAAAATAAAAATAGCTATTAACCATACAACATTAATAGTAACAATTTATATAAAACATAGTCTGTTGCATTCATATCCAAAAAATGTTTCAATATCTGATAATATTAAGCAATTTATTATGAACAATATAAATCTTTTATCTTGTAAAATTTATGTTAAATTAGTAGAAAATGAGCTAGATTTATTAGTTACTTCAAACTAAATTTATATTTGATAAATAATATTAAAACAAAATCAATACAAATAACATGATAATTCTTTTATTTATTTTTTTTTTTGGTATTAAGATAACCTCTTTGGTCTTTTGACTTTTATTAATTACTTATCGGTATTATGGTTCAATGAACTACTACAGGAGAGCGTACAATTGGCTATACGTATAACTTTTCTATATTATCTATATAAGTAGTCTGCCTAAAAGTTTCCTACCAATTGCTGTACCTAACACCCCTGCTTGGGTGTTCCACTTTAAACCCTCTGACCTGTAACCTGTGTTAATATCACTGGTCATCTCAGATGTACCAGATCATCATACTCAACCTTAGGACTAATTTATCTTCAAGGTAAACCCCCCAGAGCTTTCTGTATCCATTTTTACAGTTGACCTAGGTATCACTATGGCAGAACCAACACTTGCGGTCAGGACTGATCATTAAACCGTTATATTCTTGTAGAGTTCATACAAACCCCAGCATCTACTTCACAGCATATCTGAAATATTTTAGTATACCCCTGCCGGTTCACCAAACTCCCAAATATAATTTTTTCTTGTTATTTATATTTAGTAAAAGATATTAGTAACTTAATCAGCACACCTCAAAAATCAGAAGAGTGGTTCATAGATATGTTAATACATAGCATAAACTAAAAAAAATATGAAAGATAACATAAAAAATAATTAAATATAGGTTTTTAAAGTATATAGAAGCATTTTACAATATTATTATCAGATATTTTTATCTTATATGATGTCAAGAATATCATACAATTTAATTGTTGAAAGATGGATTAGTTGCAGAGCATCAAGATTACTGAAAGAGATAATACAACAACATCTACAATATAGAAGAAATTAGAAGAACTTACATCTTTATGATAAAATTGTTGGAGAGTTAACTGCAAAAAGTCATCAAACATATCAAATAATTTTTGAAGAAATTGGAAATGTAATTGTAGATATTCTTACTGATAACCTACAATATGAAAAAGAAACCATCTTAAATAGAGAAGAAGAACAACCAACAGTTGAAGAATTGTTACCAGTTTTCAAGAAACTTTCTGATAATAGTGAAAGTAACTTAGAAAAGGAAGAGAAAAATGATAATATGAATGTAATTGACCTTAGTACTACAGTAAACTGCTAAGAGCAACAAATAATTATCAATTAATTTGCAACTAACCTAGCATATAACCATGATATAAAATTAACATTTCATCAATAAATTTAGCTTCTTCATATGAATTATTTCATTAATATCTTTTTCTCAATTATATTAAATAGTTTGTAATTAGTTCTATTAATAAACATAGGAGGAATATTTCAAACTAGATAAATATAAATATTAATGAATATATGAAGTAATTAGGTTTATTAGTTCTAATGTTTGTTTTTCTTGTTACTAATTATTATTTTTATTAGAAGACAAATCAAGAGCATATGCAGTCTTTAATACTATTTAATTTTTAATATTGCATGAGTTGTTTATGATTTGAATAAATAATATTATATCATACTTTAATGATACCAAGTAAATTAGATACTTTGAATCTTAATAATCCTTTATATTCTGTTCATAGTTTTAAGTAATGTTTTTAATAACAACCTGGTTGATGCCATAATGTCTAGAAGTATCTTATATATTGATAAATCTATAAATTCATGAATAGGTAAAATAAATAAAATCTCAGGTTATCATAAAATATCATGAAAATTATATTCAATTGGACAAAAATAGAAAATAATCACTGATATCTCTACAAATATTATTATTTAGTTGGAGTCTTGTAAAGAAAAGAAACTTAAAAAAAAGCAGTTTGTATCAGAATATGGTAGTATCACTGTCTATATAATTCGATTAGTACAACCATAGTTTGGTAGTAAATGAATAATAGTTAATGATAGTTGATTTGGATCATCAAAACTTTGCTTATTTTTAATACAAAATGGTTTATATAGCATTTTTCATGTTAAAAAAAAGTATGATTGACCTCTTAATTACCATCATAATATGATTCAAAAATTCAAAAATATGGATCTTATTTTTTAAAAGTTGTAATCATTAATAATATACAATTAATTGCAGCTTTCTTGAAAGATCAAAAACCCCAATGCATTGTTACAATAGCATCAACTATAACAAAAGGTGATGAAGTTAAGTGTATAGTCAAAGAACATAATAACTCATCATTGGATAAATTTGAATGATCAAAAATCTTTTCTGAATATTTCTTTTCAAAAGGTGTCTTGATATCAATAATTAAGTATTTTATTTTTTTTTTATCTATAGTCTTTAATTATTTATTTATAAACTTTTTGATTATTTTTGCAATATATTTGTCATATTTAACTAATTTTTGGTCTCTAAATTTAAGTTTCAGAAATAAAATTTATTATTTATTGTTTAAGATTGAATCCCAAAAAATTATTTAATATTTTGATCAATAATAGCAATGTGTCAAATGCTAATTTATATAACTTATTTTTTTTATTAGTACAAATTTTTGTATAATTAAAAACTTATTTTAAATTTACTATACCAATATGCAATTTAACATTTGTAACAAACTGTTAGTAATATTAACAGTATTTTATGGATAACAGAAAATTTAAAACATATATGATATTGTTATTTTTATATGCCAATATAAATAATAAATTGTGAAGTAATTATTATATAGTACTTAAAATTATTATAACTTAATTTAATTTTTAGATTCATGACAATATAACTTCTTTCTATAATGTAATGCATGGATCAAGTTGAGAAATATGTCTACTTGCTTTTTTACTTGAAATTGCTAAAACCAATACATTTTTATTATTCAAAAAATGATGAGAAGGGCACAAAATACTTCACATTTTGATTTTAGCCAACAATTGATTTTTGAAATTCTTGATGAAGATTATCTTAGTTTAAGAAATTTATCACAAAATACATGTTAAAGAGCACAAACTGGGTTACAACATAAATTATTTTCTCTTCTAAAAAAGAAAACAAACAAAAATATTACAATTTATTTACAGTTTTGTTGTAAAAATTGTAATACAAGAACAAGGTATTACTGTATATGTAATAATTCAAAGAAGGTATGCATTAAATGTTTTAGTGATTATATTTTAATAACCTAAATATATCAAAATGAAGGATCGGTTCTAGACAATATATATTGTTTTTTTATAATATTTTTTTATATCACCTTTAAAAATTTTTTTGTTTGTTGTACTAAATTTAGTACAGCAATTATTTGTCTGAAGATAGCAATTCACAATTATATTTTATAAAATTTTTATTTGTAAATATGATTAAAATTTTACATTTATATAAAATTATACTTAATATATATTTTGGCAAATTTTGATTAAAATTAAATTAATAGTTATTTCAAAAACATTTTATTGCAATGTACTAAATTTAGTATACTAACCAAATAGATACCCATTAATTATAATTATGTCTGGTTTCGATATCAAAATTCATGTTCTATTTATAGTTATTTTATTGATTATTATCATGTCCTTTATTATCTAGTGAACATCTAAATATAATGCTAATGAAAATGATCTTACTAGAATAAAAAACTATTGTATCTACTATATTATGGTATTTTAATAAAAATAAACAAAATTTCACTTTTATTGTTTTGGGATGATATTAATTATTATCAGTAAATATTTATTCCTAAATTTAAACTAGTTTTTATAAGTGATTATCCAAGAGATTATCTGAGATTAGATAATGTAATAGATGAGAACCTGCAATAATGGATGGTAAAAAAATGTTAATATAGTATGAGTAATATAATCAAATCAAATGTTTTATAATAGTGCTAAAATTTTGATAACTTTTTTATATTAGTGCTGAACTTTTTAAAGTAGTATTTTTTTAAAAAAGTTTTCTTTAATAAAAGTTTAAATAAGTTTGAAACTAAATACATGGTTTAATAGATTTTATCTAAAGCTATTTAAAACTACATATTTTTTTACAATTTTAAGTTTATAATAAAATATCTGATGTGACTAGGCTGCCTGCACCATATATAACACCTTTTAGCAATATAGTTCTGTTATTAGCAGTTAATAATAAAATTTCAAAAGCAATTTTTTTAATATAGATTATTTACATTTTTTCATTATGTTATAGGTTAATGACTTTATGGATATTAATATTATGCACTATTAGCAATATCATATAAAAAAATCACTTGACATTTTCTGTGTGTATGAATTCTTTTCCCTTCATACATAGAGTATTTTTAATTTCAACTAAATAGGAACATTCCCAATGATCCTATAATCATTTTATAGAAAAAATGCTTATTTCTATGATTGATACTGTTCGGTTCAGAAGATTGTGACTCTGTTGCTCCACAATTCAATATCTTGCATAACATATGATAAGTAACCTTTTCGAAAAAGGGTGTTAGATTTGGCTGATGGGTGATTAAGGCTTTCAGTTACTTTGGGTCAATGAATGCAAATATGATAAGTCATGTGTACAAGGGCTTGAACAACAATGTTATGGGGTTTACAGGGTTTGTAACAGTAATAGTGTTAGTGTTTATTATGTACAATGTAGTGTATTGGAACTTATTATTTAATAAAGCAAACAAAGCATACTGCTTCAAAGGGCCATTTCAGCCTTTATTTATAATTTAAAATTCGTCACTTACAAATGCAACATTGCACTTATTATTACTTTAAGGCTACTAAATGTTATTTACAATGATATATTTAATTTTTCCAACCATGTTTTATTTCTTTAAGGATATGTAATTTTTCCTTACATCCTCCTATACTACCCCTCTGGATCCGAAATACTGTTCTCGATCACAAATATAACTTATTGCATTTCGTGTATTTTCTACATGATCGATTACGATATTCAGTATCACAATATCTGTTGTTACAATACAAACAAAAAAAAGTTTTTTTGAATTTCATTAGGAATCATTAGTAGTTATGGTTTTAGAAAGAATAACAATTATAGGTAGGTAAAATTTCATTCTTTTCATACTAGAAACGAGATTTACACTGTTTCAATGACAATTATTTCACCGACTTTGTGTAGCCAGATATGCCAATTTGTAAACTTAATACTATCGCTCGTAATTATTGTTGTTTCATTCTTTGAAAACATATTTAGTTCAAATAATGCAAATGCATGTCCCAGAATCATGCGCGCTTGGCATAACATGTGTTAGCAGGTTTGATGCATGCATACTGTTGGGTTCGGAAGTTTGTGACTCAGTCACTCCAAAATTCTAAATCTCGCATAACATATGATAAGTAACCTTTTCGAAAGAGGGTGTTAGATTTGGCTTGTAGGCGAGAAAGGCTTTCGGTTACTTTGGGTCAACGAATACAAGTATGGTAAGTCATGTGGTCACAGGTTTGAACAGACAACGATGGTTATTGGGGTTTACAGGGTTTGTAACGGTAATAGTGTTAGGGTTTTATTATGGACGATTACAATGTATTGGGACTTGTTCATTAC